ACTGTGTCCCCATGTTGCTGTGTCCAGTCTCTGGAACATCCTGTCTTTGTCCACCTTGTCAATTCCTCTCAGTATTTTGTAAGTCGTTATCATGTCCCCCTATCTCTCCTGTCCTTCAGTGTCGTCAGGTTGATTTCCCTTATAGGACATACCTCTTAGTTCTGGGACTAGTCTTGCTGCAAACCTTAGCGCTTTCTCTAGTTTCTTTACATGCTTGGCTAGGTGTGGGTTCCAAACTGATGCCGCATACTCCAATATGGGCCTAACGTACACGTTGTACAGGGTCCTGAACGATTCCTTATTAAAATGTCGGAATGCTGTTCTGACGTTTGCCAGGCGACCATATGCTGCAGCAGTTATTTGGTTGATGTGCGCTTCAGGAGATGTGCCTGGTGTTATACTCACTCCAAGATCTTTTTCCTTGAGTGAGGTTTGTAGTCTCTGGCCCCCTAGACTGTACTCCGTCTGCGGTCTTCTTTGCCCTTCCCCAATCTTCATGACTTTGCACTTGGTGGGATTGAACTCCAGAGCCAATTGCTGGACCAGGTCTGCAGCCTGTCCAGATCCCTTTGTAGTTCTGCCTGGTCTTTGATCGAATGAATTCTTCTCATCAACTTCACATCATCTGCAAACAGGGACACCTCGGAGTTTATTCCTTCCGTCATGTCGTTCAAAATGTGAATGTGAACGTGAACGTGAATATGCATGTATGTGTGTGTGTGTGTGTGTGTGTGTGTGTGTGTGTGTGTGTGTGTGTGTGTGTGTGTGTGTGTGTGTGTGTGTGTGTGTGTGTGTGTGTGTTTGTTTGTTTTTTCCAAGTCGGCCATTCAACACTTTCACCTCACTCATACATAATCACTGTTTTTGCCGAGGTGCCCAGATACAACAGTTTAGAAGCACATAAAAAATATATAACATATCCCTCCAAACTGCCAATATCCCAAACCCCTCCCTTAAAGTGCAGGCATTGTACTTCCCATTTCCAGGACTCAAGTCCGGCTATATAAAAATAACCAGTTTCCCTAAATCCCTTCACTAAATATTACCCTGCTACACTCCAACAGCTTGTCAGGTCCCAAAAACCATTCGTCTCCATTCACTCCTATCTAACACACGCTTGCCGGAAGTCCAAGCCCCTTGCCCACAAAACAACCTTTACCCCCTCCTTCCAACCTTTGTGAGGATGACCCCTACCCGGCCTTCCTTCCGCTACAGATTTATACGCTCTCCACATCATTCTACTTTGATCCATTCTCTCTAAATGACCAAACCACTTCAACAACCCCTCTTCAGCCCTCTGACTAATACTTTCATTAACTCCACTACTTCTCCTAATTTCCACACTCCGAATTTTCTGCATAATATTTACACCACACATTGCCCTTAGACAGGACATCTCCACTGCCTCCAACCACCTCCTCGCTGCAGCACTTACAACCCAAGCTTCACACCCATATAAGAGAGTTGGTACCGCTATACTTTCATACATTCCCTTCTTTGCCTCCATAGATAATGTTTTTTGTCTCCACATATACCTCAATGCACCACTCACCTTTTTTCCTTCAACAATTCTATAGTTAACCTCATCCTTCATAAACCCATCTGCTGACACATCACCTCACAAGTATCTGAAAACATTCACTTCTTCCATACTCCTCTCTAATGTGATATCCAATTTTTCTTTATCTAAATCATTTGATACTTTCATCACCTTACTCTTATCTCTGTTCAATTTCACTTTACACACCCTCCCAAACTCGTCCATTAACCTTTGCAACTTTTCTTTAGAATCTCCCATAAGCACAAGTATCATCAGCAAAAAGTAACTGTGTCAACTCCCATTTTGTATTTGATTCCCCATAATTTAATCCCACCCCTCTCCCCAACACCCTAGCATTTACTTCTTTTACCCCATCTATAAATGTATTAAACAACCATGGTGACATGACACATCCCTGTCTAAGACCTACTTCTACCAGGAAGTAGTCTCCCTTTCTTCTACACACCCTAACCTGAGCCTCACTATCCTCATAAAAACTCTTTACAGCATTTAGTATCTTACTACCTATTCCATGCACTTACAACATCAGCCATATTACTCCCTATCCACTCTGTCATATGCCTTTTCTAAATCCATAAATGCAATGAAAACTTCCCTACCTTTATCTAAAAACTGTTCACATATATGCTTCAGTGTAAACACTTGATCTACACATCCCCTATCCAGTGTTCCAACTCTTTCTGGAGAGCTGCACCAGAACACAGACGCAATACAAGAGACAAGTACCTCTTTAACATACCAAGCATCCAACTAAACCTCTCTTAACCCTTTGACTGTCGCAAGCCCCTTTCTTAAAGTGTCATTCTATGTCGCAAAATTTAAAAAAAAAAATTATTTTTTCTTATGAAATGATAGAGAATCTTTTCCTGATGGTAATGACACCAAATTACGAAATTTGGTCGAAAACTCACGGAATTATGCTCCCGCGAAGTTAGCGGTCTCGGTGACATATGCATCGGCGATTTCACCGACTTTAAGCCCTGTTTTTGGCCAAATCTGTTGTTCCAGTTGACCAAACTCATAGCTATTTCTTTAGAACTCCATTGTTTCTATCAGTTGAGTAGAAGAAACCACCCATTTACCAATTTGAACTACCCAATAAAGTGGTCAGAAATTGGCAATTTGGCCAATTTCCCACAAATTAAAAAAGATGCCAATTTCAAAATAGGGTCCAGAATAAACAATGTAGACATTTTTGGCACTAAAATAACATATCTTCTGTTCATTAGTCACATCTCTATCCCCCTCTTATATTACTATTGTTTTCTATTTTGAATTTTTATTCATACAAAAAAATACAAAATTTACTGTTATGCAGACTAATGCATTATTGTAAAAATGGTATAAATAATATCAGTGCACTAGTGAAAGAATATTAGACTCCCCAGTTGACGTGTATTAGAAGTGTGGTGTGATCTGCTTACACCTGAACATTGGTAAAAATCGAACATTTCCGCTACTCTGAGCTCAATTTCAAGGTCATTTTCATTGTGAAACTAATCAAAATCATCTTTATTTCTGTAATATGTTTTCCATTTTATCACGTGAGACCATGAAAATGAGAATACAGCGATAAATACTTTACGAAAATACACCTCAAAGTCGGCGTTTTAATCCAAAAAAACGGTCAGTTTTTTTTTTCTCATTATGCACTGTGTGCTGCAGGATTCTTTTTTTATGTGGTGCACAATGACCACACAGACCCATTTTCTCACATGTGGGCCTACCAGCTTTCTCCTGCTTGATTTGAAGCTGCTAGAATTTACGCGTATTAATACGTCCGAAATAGTGGCACGCAAGACGTGTATATATACGACCAAAACAGTCAAAGGGTTAAGAGCACCCTGTGAATGAAGGACTAAATTTTGAAATACAGTGGACCCTCGAATTTAGTAGTCCCTTTTCTGTATGCAAAACTATAGTTCTTCCCTATAAAATGTATTTTTTGTTAATATTTCCCATAAGAAATAATGTAAATCCAATTAAACCATTCCAAACACCCAAAAATATTAACAAAACATACATTTTATAGAGAATAATTATAGTTTTGCATACAGAAAAGGGACTACAAAATTCCAGGGTCCACTGTACTCTTCTAGAAGATACAAAAAAGGTCCCTATCTATCACTTGCTTCAGAAATTTACAGTAGACCATCAATTAAAAAGGTTTCCTTTATGTTTTCTCCACTGAACTATTGTCAAATTGCGGCATATTTTCACTTTTCCTACCAAGAAGCAGAACCGTTTAAATTTAATTTTATTAAATCTAAACAGTACTGCTTCTTGGTAGGAAAAAAATTTCAGTGCTGCAAGCTGGATGAATGACTTACTGACCGACCTGATTTTCTGAATGACTTGACTGATTTACTGAATGACTTACTTGACTGACTGACCTACTAACATTACTGATTTACTGACATCACTGACCATCTTGACTGATTTACTGAATGACTTGACTGATATACTCACTGCTTACTATTTGACTGACTGATATGACTGATTTACTGACTGATGGTTTACTGGCTTGACTGACTGACTTAATTGATATACTGAATGACTTGAGTGACTGACTTGAATGAGTGACCCACTGAATTGAATGACTATACTGATTTGACTGAATGATCTGACTCACTTGACTGGATTGACTTACTGCCTTGATTACCATCCACCTTAGCCCAGATGGGCCTCAGCATGTCTCTCCCCTCCCTGCTTCACAATCATCAACAAACACCAGGAACCACAATTTAAGGTAAGAAATATTATTTCTGTTGCATTTTTAGCCTCAAACAACAGAAAAACATATATTGTAACAATAATGAGCAACAACTGCATTATTATTTTTATTTTTGTAAGATCTGGAGACCTAAAAAACAAAAACAGTTGTTTGGCTTTTTTTTTGGGGGGGGGGGGAATCCTAGGAACATAACCCTATTTTTCCAATAAGTTCTTCAGTTCCTTTAACACAGATTTATCTAACACTGCATTTTCAGGAACCTAACTACCATATTAATCGATGGTCTACTGTAGTTAAAAAGCACCTCCATCTGACCTATCGTAAATTCTTCAGTATGATTTAAAAGAATCCACTGCTTACAACCTCGTTATTACAACATTCACAGATTGTACTTCACATCCATATACAAGTATAGGCACTACTACTCTTCTTTCCATACACCTCTACACTCCTACCTTACTTTCCTCATTCTTAATAGAACCATCTATCAATGCATTTACTCATTCAATATCAGAATATAACCAATGTGTTAACAGATTCCTTTCAATACCTATTTCAAAATTTTTAATCTTCTATTCTCTGTAATCAACTACATAATATTTTGTGATAGGAAATTTAACATGGCTTATGTTTCCTTGTTTAATCGATTAATTTCCAAAAAATTATCTTGGAGAGATTATTCTTTAACAAAAAAAAACAAAAATAGACTGGCAAGTGTTTATTTATTAATGGTCAAATACTAACAATGAATATTTTAAACTAATTCAAGCAGCAATATTAGCAAATGTCTCTTGGCAACATATCCAAATATCTAATAATTTATCTTAAATTTTTAAGGAAATAACAGTGAGGTAAACCCTATAATGTAAACTATAACAAACATTATCCACAATATTCTAGGATCCTGCACTAACCTTCATCACAACTAGCATAAAGCATTATAATAAAACTAAATATCTAGTAAATCCATCATTTAAAATATTAAAACTATGTACACAATTCTTCTGCACAAGGTTTTAAAATCATCTGTGTGATGTAGCTTTATAGCTACATCAATCAGAAATAAATGTGAAAAGCACTCCATCATATTTCAAAGCAAATATATATTAAAAGTATTTAGACAATTATGGAAAATGTAAAAAAGCTGTTATAATTTTGCCAACCATGAATTACACATGAAAATCTAAACTGACAATGCACTAGTAATACATTTGACCTACTCTGCAATTCCTGCTTGATCCCAAACAAGTACAATACACACATTTATGGTATGGTATGGCATTTTCAGTAACTGATCAGTGCAAGGCAATTATGAATTTGCCTCCAAGCAAGGTTTTATATTTTTACAGAAACACTGATATTTTGCATCAAAACACAATTGGAGATTAATGTAAATTTCAAATTTTGCATTGAAAAATAAGTACTCAAAATGAAAATGTGTATGACTATTAACTGAATACTTTTTATTTTATGACACATTATGTTCATTACCAAGACGATTAATGTGTGATGTTACAACAGTTAATTAACCATTTAAATAACAAAAAAGGCACAATACTGTGACTCGAACTATACACAAATAACCTGCACACAGAAGAGAGGAGCTTATGACATTTCGGTCCGACTTGGACCATTTACGAAGTCACACTAACGAGGAGAGCAGGATGGGTATATATAGGCAGGGGGTGGTAGTAGTGGAGGTGGAAGGAAGGAGTAGGGAGGTAGTAAGAGTAGGAGGGGGCAGTCAAATACTAAGAAAGAGGAGCACTGCTTCCTTTTCTTGATGTTCATGTCCACCACTCAGATACAGGTTTTGCCTTTTCTGTTTACCGCAAGCCTATGCACAGTGGCATGTACATTCACTACTTTTCTTATCATGTTTCCTCTGTCAAAAAAAGTGTTATCTCCCTCTTTCTCCATGCTCTCCGCATATGTGATCCTCAGTTCCTTCAACCAGAAATTTCCACCCTTCATAATTCATTTTCCCATCTTGGCTACCCTTCCCATTTCATAGACTCTGCCCTCTCACGTGCTAAACATAATTTCTTCTCTACCAAACTCTCTACTCCTGGGAACTCTTCTGTCCTCTGCCTTCCCTACATTTCTGGTCTTTCTAATCTCAACAACTATCTCCGTTCCTTAGACATCAAACTTACTTTCCGCCAAACTAACACTCTTTGCACTAATCTCGTTCATACCTCTCCTCCCTCTACAGATGCTCCTGGTGTCTACTCTATTTTTTGTTCCTCCTGTCCTCTTCAATACTTTGGAGAAACTGGTCGATCTCTTTCTGACAGAGTTGGGGCTCACAAAAATAGTGTTAGGCTTGCCAACACTAACAATGCTCTTTTCTGTCATGTCAGAGATCGCAGCTATCCTACTGACTGGTCTTCTGCTAAAACTGTCTTCCCTACTTTCAACTTTAACAGTCGCCATCTGGTTGAGTCCTCCCTAATACACAGCTTTCCTTGTATGAATCTTAGTCCTGGCTTCGTCTCTGTAGATGCCTTCCTCTCCCACTACATTGTAAAATGCTCCAAACTTAAGAACACTCGTGATCTAACCTGATTCCTCTTTTTTTCTTCTTCTCCCTCTTCCCCTTTCCTTTTTCCTTTTTCTCCTTTGGGTTGTCTTTCTTCTGCCCTGTGTATTTGTTCCTTCTTTATTTACTTATTTATTTGTTCCCCCCCCCCCTCGGTGTTCTTGCTCTTACCCTCTGTGGGCACCAGCTCCCTTGCAGTGCTCCTCTTTCTTAGTATTTGTCTGCCCCTTCTACTCTTACTACCTCCCCACTACTACTTCCTTCCATCTCCACTACTACCACTACTACTACTACCACCTCCTGCCTATATATACCCATCCTGTTCTCCTTCTCGTTAGTGTGACTTTGTACATGGTCCAAGACGGACCAAAACGTCGTCGTAAGCTTCTCTCTTCTTCTTCGGGTTACTTGTGTACAATTAACCCTTTCACTGTCCAGACTCACAAAATTGAAAGTACTCAGTGTCCACATTTAAAAAAACAAATAAAGTGGTAAAGAATCTTTTTTATGACAGTAATGAGGCCAAAAATGCAAAATTTGACAGAAAACTTATGAAATTACACAGGCACAAAGTTAGCAGTCTGGCCACAATTTAAGCATTGGTGATTTCGCTGATTTTGAGTTCTATTTAATGCCAATTCCAATCCTCAATTTAACCAAATTCTTAAATATTTCACTAGTACACCTTCCGTTCTTTCAAATGAGTACAAGAAATCACCCATTCAACAATCAAAACTACCCTATTAAAAAATAATCCATTTTAAAATAAATACTGTAGATATTCCAGGCACTAAACATTTCCTCTGTTCATTAATAATATCCCCAGGCCTCTTTTATATTACACTCGCCTTCCATTTTGAATTCATCACACAAAAAAATAGAGATTTAACCTATTTCTCAGATAATAATGTATAACCAAGAATAACTGATCATGGTTTATGGTATCCCAATAACTGACTCAAACCTAGTAAAACACCCATAAAACAGATCAGAGGGGGTGTAGAAGGGCCTCACCCATCCTCGTCAGGTGCTAGAACCAACTCAATCATATTTATTTCACTAGTATGTCTTTCATTCTATCAAATGATAATGAAACAGCCAATAAAACTATAAGATCCATCATAGAAAACACCTCAAAAGTTGTTACTGAAACCAAACACAAGGTCAGAGTTTTGCCATGTTTTTAATCTTCTATTCTGTGTAATCAACTACCATAATAATATTTTTGTCATAGGAAATTTAACATGTTTCCTTGTTTAATCAATTAATTTCCATAAAATTATCTGGGAGATATTATTCTTTAAAAAAAATAGACTGGCAAGTGTTTATTAATGGTCAAATACTAACAATGAATATTTTTTAAACCAATTCAAGCAGCAATATTAGCAAATGTCTCTTGGTAAAATATCCAAATATCTAATAATTTATCTTAAATTTTTAAGGAAATAACAGTGAGGTAAACCCTATAATGTATAACAGCCAATAAAACCATAAGAACCATCCACACACAAGGTCAGAGTTTTGCTTTTTCCCATCATGCACCATGTGAGGAAGGATTTTTTTTATATACTGTGCACACTCACTGCACAGACCCATTCTTTCATATCTTGGCCAAAATTTACCTCTCACAACCTATCCAAGCAAGACGAACTCATGACAGATCTATGTGACTGACCTGACATCAATATGTGACAGACAGTGAAAGGGTTTTAAAGATTACTTATTTTCTTTCTGATCATAAATACCCTAAACAAGACAGATGCAACTAAACTGGAATGTAAAGCAAATTCTATACATATTAAGAGGCACTTATGCTGCCCCATCCTGAATACAAAAATAAGGTATACTGTACAAGCAATTATTGATACAAATAAATAAAATAGTTTGAATAAAAATTATTTGATCAAGATGCCTATTTTCAAATGGAAAATTTTGCTAAGTTTTAAAGGCTCAAATGGAAAATTTTGCTAAGTTTTAAAGGCAAAAATCTGCTGCAAAGAATTACTCTTAACCACACATGCCAAGAGACAAGGAAGAAAATATATATTTCAATAAATATATAATCTGTATTCAAGTTTCTTATAAAAGTAGTCATTTCATTCTCACTATAAAATGAGCCAATGATGAGACATATCCTACAATGAAGTACATCTTACTGTAGGTGAAGAATACCAACCCAATATATGGTCTCATTGACTATAAAGTTTAATGTGCTTCATTCTCAACTTCAGGTTATTCAAGGATACCTCAAATTTCTGGCCCTTGCAAAACAAAACTCTCAATATTCTGATTAATAATTTCTGCTGACTTTAAGTCAAATGCTATGACGAAGAAATGATATTTATGAAGAGGTGAAAGAACACGTGTAGGAATTCAGCTAGAAAGATGAAGAACAAAGGGGCAAATAGGATTAATTAAGTTACATTACATTTCTTATCAAATACAGCATATGAAATCAGGATAATGATTCTTATGAAATCAAAATCTGATCAACCAAGATAATCCAGGTGTACTCACTGTACATCACTAAGATCAGACAACATAAGATCATGCAGTGAGAGCTTTTTCTTAAATGATTGTTTAAACTTTGATGGAAAGTAGAAGTGAGCTTTGTAATTTTCTAGCAATTGGAAAAAAGTTTACCAAAAATTGAGAATTTTAGTGTGTCCTTAACTGGTAGTCGCCATTTTGGGTGATATATCGAACCCATGGAAGCGCTTGATAGCCAGATTTTTCAATGATCTTCAGATATCTCACCTGTAAAATATAAATGTTGCAAGCATTAATAATAAAAACCGAAAAACATCATAATCCATGACCAAATATAAGTTGAGCAAAACGGGTTTTGACTTTTATATTTTATTGGCTAAATATATAAAATTAGGAAATTATTCGGAGCACATAAATTAGAAAATAGTGTGGGGGTTACCAAAGACATGACTCAGAGGGTGTATAAATTGGGGTGTAAGGAAAGAGGAGTTGAGGTTATCAGAGGAAGGGTTGGAAAGAGGGAGTAAATGTTCTGAGTGTTAGTAAGAGTTTAAGCCTCCAGCAGGATTGTGAGAGCCTGTTAGATAGGAGTGAAGACAAATAGCTTTTATGGCCAAAAGTGCTGTTCGTGTGAGCAAGGTAACATTTATGAAAAGATTCATGGGAAACCAGTTAGCCGAAGATAGGAAGTACAGTTCATGCACTCTGAAGGAGGGGTGGAGATGTTGCAGTTTGGAGGGTCACTTCTGGCAAGACAGCTGTTGAACAAATGGTGAACCGTTTTTTTTCCCAGGAGGTAACTTAGATCTGTTTGTGACCTGATATAGCCCACTGTGTGAGCAAAAAATTGCCAACAAAGAATTGCATTATACTGCATTTCTGTCTCAAGCCCCAAGGGATTCTGGAAGACCAAGTTTAACATCTTAGATTGTAAGAGGGTCATGATGAATTCCTGGAATGAAGTTTCCACTCAATGTCTCAATGCAGCTTGAAGAACTTGTGGCCTTCAGTCACCTATGACTGAAGGGTCTGAGGTTGAGAAGGATGTAAACCAGAAGATTGTTGCTACTGGTAAAGCGATGAGGCTGGAGGTTGATGATGAGGATATGGAGGTTTTAATTCAGTACCAGAGACAGGAATGGATAACAGAGGAGCTCCAGGAATTAGGGAAACTATATGAGGACAGTGGGGAGGAAGATGACTATGAGATAACAGATGCAGAAACATAGGAGTTGCTTACTCATTGGGAAGGTGTGAAAAGAATCATAATAAAGTACCCAAAAATTTAAAGAACAACTAGCTTCCTGTGTTTTTGAGAAAATATTTTATCTTAATTTAAGAGCCTCCAAAGAAAAGCAACAAAAGCAAACATTTCTGAACAGTTTTTTTCATGAGGCCTTGGTTGGAGTGAATTTTTCCTTCCAAAGAGTAACCTCCTCTTTACCATCCCCCGCCACAACATACCAATCCTTCAAGTCCAAGGTCTTGGAATGAATTACCATAAAACCAGATGAATTAGTTCAAGGGCTAGTAAAACATTCCTTTATGACAAAAAAAGATCTAATGAATTTTTATTTGATGCAAGAAATATTACACAGGAAAAAATCAAAGCACATGAAACAACTTTGCTGGGAAGAAATATTTAAAAACAGTCAAGAAGAATGTGTCATAGCAGTAAACCTTCATTTGAAAATCCTGTGGCTTCAACTTCAAGTACCCCCGATGTCCTCTCTGTAACATCACAATTCCATTACAAAATAACCAACTATGAGACATTAACAACTGTGAGACATTAATCATGACAACTTCAACTTCCAAACCTTAGTGATTAGCTCTTTGGTAGCAGTAGTACTCGAACATTCTTTGTAAGTACAGTAATTAATGAGCCTGTTTCATTTATAGTACTAATGTAAGATTTGAGTTTCTAGCAGACCATAGTGGGTCAGAGATGTACTGCTGAATTATTATGTGGCCTCTGTTGGTCCAGTAAAATCGATATTCCAACAAGGTCTAGGAACCAAGGATACTGGAAAATTGGTGTTGTACCTATAATTGCTGCACATATGGCAAACAAACAAGTAAACAATAACATGTGAAATTCCCACTTTTCTTGGGGAACAAGGACAAAGACGTTTATTTAATGTACATAATGAAGACAGGAGTGAAGAAGAACAGGATGTGAGTGTGGGGGAGGTGTGTGAAGCATTACGTTGAATGAAAGGGGGTAAAGCAGCTGGAACTGACGGGATCATGATAGAAATGTTAAAAGCAGGGGGGGGGGGATATAGTGTTGGAGTGGTTGGTAATTTTGTTTAATAAATGTATGAAAGAGGGGAAAGTACCTAGGGTTTGGCAGAGAGCATGTATAGTCCCTTTATATAAAGGGAAGGGGGACAAAAGAGACTGTAAAAATTATGGAGGAATAAGCTTACTGAGTACACCAGGAAAAGTGTACGGTAGGGTTATAATTGAAAGAATTAGAGGTAAGACAGAATGTAGGATTGCGGATGAGCAAGGAGGTTTCAGAGTGGATAGGGGATGTGTAGATCAAGTGTTTACATTAAAGCATATATGTGAACAGTATTTAGATAAAGGTAGGGAAGTTTTTATTGCATTTATGAATATAGAAAAGGCATATGATACAGTGGATAGGGGAGCAATGTGGCAGATGTTGCAAGTATATGGAATAGGTGATAAGTTACTAAATGCTGTAAAGAGTTTTTATGATGATAGTGAGGCTCAGGTTAGGGTGTGTAGAAGAGAGGGAGACTACTTCCCAGTAAAATTAGGTCTTAGACAGGGATGTGTAATGTCACCATGGTTGTATAATATATTTATAGATGGGGTTGTAAAAGAAGTAAATGCTAAGGTGTTCAGGAGAGGGGTGGGATTAAATTATGGGGAATTAAATACAAAATGGGAATTGACACATTTGCTTTTTGCTGATGATACTGTGCTTATGGAAAATTCTGAAGAAAAATTGCAAAGGTTAGTGGATGAGTTTGGGAGTGTGTGTAAAGGTAGAAAGTTGAAAGTGAACATAAAAAAGAGTAAGGTGATGAGGGTATCAAATGATTTAGATAAAGAAAAATTGGATATCAAATTGGGGAGGAGGACTATGGAAGAAGTGAATGTTTTCAGATACTTGGAAGTTGACGTGTCGGTGGATGGATTTATGAAGAGTTCAATTCAATTCAATTCAAGTTTATTCTCTATAAGGGTTACAATGTGGGGTTTACAGGTTTTGGGTATTGTGTGGTTTACATGTTATAAAATACTAATTACAGAGGGGGCCACTAAGACACCTAGCATGGCTAGGCATTTCGGGGAGACTTAGATTAATTCTTAACATTAAATCCTTACAGATTATGGTGTTAAGGCTAAGTGACTACATCATAATATGCGAGTTTAGCAATGTGAATACTTTTGTTCTGGCACAATACAAAGTGTCTATATTGGAGTATCATAGGCAAACTTATGACTAGTTAGGATTTATTATTTTAAGATTAAGATTAGTATTTCTGGGTTTATAGTCAGTGGGTGAGTGTAATTGTGAACCACCAGGTGGTTATCATGTAGTTAGTTGTCGGGGTGTATCAGGGAGATAAGATGTTTTCTAACTGTAGTTTTGAAAGTGATGAATGTGTCTGCAGTTCTAGAGTTTTCATGTAGGGTGTTCCAGATTTTAGGTCCTTTGAAATATGTACATAGAATTTTTGTAAAGGTTTAGTCAAACACGGGGAATGTCATAGAGATGTTTGTGTCTGGTGTTATGCCTGTGGATCCTGTCACAACTATCAAGAAAGCCTTTCAGGTCAAGGTTAATATTGGAATTTAAGGTCCTGTAGATATAGATTGCACAGTAGTAAGTGTGGATGTTCTGAACAGGGAGTAAGTTCAGATCTATGAAGAGTGGGGGGGGGGGTGTTGCCAGGGATGGGATTTAGTGATTATTCTTACTGCAGCTTTTTGTTGGGTTATTATTGGCTTTAGGTGTGTTGCTGTAGTTGAACCCCAAGCACAGGTAGCATAGGTGAGGTATGGATATATAAGTGAATGGTATAGTGTGAGAAGGGCAGTTTGCGGCACATAGTATCGTATTGTGGAGAGGATCCCCACCATTTTGGTTACTTTTTTTGTTATGTGTTGGATATGGGTGCTGAAATTTAGGTTGTTGTCGAGGTATAGGCCAAGGAATTTGCCCTCATTATGTCTGGCAATTAGTGTTGTCGATCTTAATGTTAAGTTGCGCAACACCTGCTCTGCTACCAAACATAATATAGTAGGTTTTGCCAGTGTTAAGTGTAAGTTTATTGGCTGTCATCCAAGTCAATATTTTGAGCAGCTCCTCGTTACCAATGGTGTTGAGGGTGGCAAGATTAGGGTGGGAAATGACATAAGTCGTGTCGTCAGCAAATAGAATGGGTTTCAGGTGTTGGGATATGTTTGGAAGATCATTGATGTAAATGAGGAAGAGCAGGGGTCCAAGGACACTTCCCTGCAGAACTCCAGTATCAAGTGGCCATATTGATGACGCTGTGTCTTTAATGGTGACATACTGATACCTATTAGAAAGGTAAGATTTAAAATATGCAAGCGCATGGCCTCTTATACCATAGTGGTCAAGTTTGTGGAGTAGGATGCCGTGGTCTACTGTGTCAAATGCTTTTCTTAGGTCAATAAAAATTCCTAGCGGATATTCCTTATTTTCCAATGCTGTGTAAAGCAGGTCTAGCAATTTTATAATTACATCATTAGTGCTTTTATTTTTCCTGAATCCAAACTGGCAGGGGCTGAGTATGTTTTGTGACGTTATAAATGAATATAGTCTCCTGTGCACGAGTTTCTTGAAGATTTTGGATAGCAATGGTAAGTTTGATATTGGCCTATAGTTGTTTACATCTGTAGGGTCACCACCTTTATGTCTTGAGTAGTGTCGGGAAAGTGCTAGTTTCTAGTGACTTGTTAAAAAGTAATGTATAAGCATGCGAAAGGACATGGGCCGCTCGCTTGTACAATAATGGTGGGACGTGAAACAGATTCCCCAAGTTATTTTTAAGTGACTTTATGATAGCGGTGACTTCCGTGGGCTCAGTTGGTACAGGATAGAAGGAATTTGGGAAATTCCCATCTAGGCAGTCCCCGGCACGGGCATTGGTACATGGGATTTTACTGGCGAGATTAGATCCTATGTTTGAGAAGAAGTCGTTTATCTTGTTAGCTGTATCAGTGGGATGCAGTGGTATTTCATGAGGTTTAGTTAGAAC